CTTAATTTTGCGTAAGATGAACAGCATTTCCACTTCCAGGTTTCCTAGTCCATTTGACAGTGGAATTTAATGCACAAAGGGAACTTATTCTGCCAGATCGAAACTCGAAACAATACACAAACTTGAAACAAGTACACTGGCGCTTTTCAGGCCTCAGTCCTGTCTTGCTCCTATCCTGGGCACTGTGGTACTCAGGATATGAGTTCCAGTGGTATGACTTCAGTTTCCATGGGGTGTGGGGTGGGGAATCACTCACACCTATAATCTTGAGTGCTTGGAGCCTCAAGAAACCTAGTTTTCCCCTTATGAGCACAACAGCATTGTATTACATGTCTCTAGCCATTTGAAGCAAGTGATATATAGTAAGGGATCCCAAACCACACCTTGGCAAAATTCATTTAACCTACTGTTATATTTAGACTACAAACAAGCCTTTAAAATACATACACAGAAATGTTACAAATATATTTCATCTTTCACTCAACAAGGCCTGAGGGAAAATATTTGTCCTAATATACGATCTTGCCAGGCATCTACAGACCTCCCCCAATGAAGAAGCATGTGTTGGCAAGCCTAGAATCAAGAAAACCATAGCATTATATCTCGAGATACAGGCAACACAAAACAAGAATCTAAGTGATGAGGAGTGCCCTGGTGTGCCAAGCTGGCACTGCTTGTGTGGAACCAGCGGGTGTCAGGTTTGGGCAAAGAGTAAGAGTCGATGATAAGGAGCAGATAAAAGCATGTTATTAATAGAGCACTTGTTGATAGCACTGCTCCAGACATTCTGCCAGCTATACAGATTATCAGCTGCCATTCAACAGGAGACTCGGAGGACACTGATGACATTTTACTTTGTTGGCTCTCGGGGCCCACATTCCACATCTGGAAGTCTTTCAAAGAAAGCATGCTCTCATCTGGACCAGCAGGATAGAAATATGCATTAACTCACTTCTCTTCTTGCCTAAGAATTTAACCCTTCCCTCTCCTGGAGCACCTAACCTATTTTAATCAGGATTGCCAATATTGAATGGTAAGGAAACAGGCATCAGTGTTTATTTTTTTTCTAGCTAAACACTTTAGACACTTTCATCATGAGATAGGTGCACCGTGTTGGTACAGCCAAGCCAGGCAGTCTAACAGTAGCCCTGAAGTAACTAATGCTTATGAGCACTGAGAAAAGCCAGGGTTCCTTCCGAGAGCTTCTCATGCTCTCTGCACACTTCACTCTCTGGAGAATCACAGGCTCTGTGACTCAGTGGGAAACTAAGGCTCAGAGCAGTCAGATGACATGTTCACACTGCATGGCAGAGCCACAAGCTGAGGCTGCCATTTTTAAATCTATGATTTTAATCACGATGCACTAGTGAGTTGGAAGCGTCTCTGAGAACGCTAAGCCTAGATTTAGCTTTAGTAATTTATGGGTTTTGTTTGTTTGTTTTCTACCATAGAGCAAGTTCTAGAGGGGTTCACATAACATCTCTGCACAGGATAGTACAGATAGCTTTCAATGCTGCTTGCCCCTCAGGTAGGCTACGACTTCTCAGTAATTTCCCTTACCACCTTTTCTGTGTGATTGTGAAGTCCCATTAGTCAAAAGCAAAATGGCCACATCATTTCAAGAGCAAAGTTATTTTTAAGGATACATTGAACATTTGCCCCCAAACCTACCTATATTTAATATGTAAAATGATGCATTTTAATGTTTACCCTAAGGGTGGACCTTTCAAAAGAAAAACATGTCTTGTATTTCTGAAGGTCTGGAACTGCTGTTGAGTAACCGTTTGCTAATGAAATAATGAGTCCCTTATGTGCTAGGAAAATCCTTTTACAGACTTCAGAATCTAAAGGACAAGTAGATCTCATGATAAAAGTATCTATTATTACTATGGAGGTAATAACTAAAGCTCAGCAAATTATTTAATAAGAACACCATTTGAGCAGATTTCTAAAAATCTCACTGGATTAGATGCGCTCCTTTCCCGGGTGGCTGAACACCCCTAAGAGATACTTCGTTTATGATCTGAAACTTAACATAGTAGCATGGTAGGGCAAGCAGGGAGAGCAGTCAACACAGGGGCCCTAATGTAGGCCCAGAGCCCACCTGACCCAGGAGTTAGCCACAGAAAGAAGCTCTACATTATACCCAAGGTTGAAATTAGTGGTAATGTTTACAAATAAGTTAGGGCAAAATGTTAAAATATCCGGACAGGGCTACTGACAGAAACTGGTTGGTTACACGGCCAATTTTCTGTCTGGAGGGTTAAGTTTCATCTATTGTTTTCCCAAACTCAGCCATTGTTTTGCTTCTATGAATACATTAATTTACAAATTCAGTGCTTTGAATTTGTGATTCCAATAAAAAACAATGATTAAAACTATTTTATAAAGATATGTCAAATTAAGACCAAAGTATTCAAAATCGGTTAATTCTCTATGGGTAAAATAATGTAATAATCCAAAGCATTGTCAAGGAATTCATCAGGATCTTGGCGCTTTGACACCATGGGAAAAGTCTACAATTCAATCCAGCTTGGTTGTGGGACTCAGTTGACACTGTGCTAAGCTTTATGTTTTTTAAGAGGAGGTGTCTTCCTTGTCTTAGTATCCCTCTCACTTAAAGCCAGGCAAAGCAGTTTTTCAAATGCTTTGTTGAGTAAATTGGCACAGAGGAAGATTTAGAGAAAATTTTAAAAAGTTTCATTTGTGTAGTGTTGTCTTAGAGTTTGCTATAGCTGTGAAGAGACACTACCACCAGGGTAACTCTTACAGTTGCAGAGTTTCTAGTGCATTGTCATCACCGGGAGGGGGGGGGGAAGCATGGCGATGTGCAGGCAACAGGAAGTCGACTTAAAGTCACACTGAAGGAAGCTTGAGCAAGAAATCTCAAGGCTCACCATTACAGTGACACATTGACTCCAAAGCCACACCTCCTAATAGTGCCACTCCCTTTGGGGATCACTTTCATACCACAAGTGTTTTGCCTACTCTGTAGATGTGTGTAATACATGCATGCCTGGTGCCTGGGGAAATAAGAAGAGGGTTATTTGGATCCCTTAGAACTGGTCTACAGACCCTTGTGAGCTACCATGTATGTGCTGGGAACTGAACTTGGGCCCTCTGGAAGCGCAGCCAGTGCTCCTAACTGCTGAGCCATCACTCCAGCACCAAACCTTTGTGTCTTGAGCAACTCAAGCCTTCTCATACTTAACTCATTCACTGGAGTTAAATTTCTCAGTAAGCCTAACCATAACCTTACCGGGAAAAATGACCAAAGCCCTTGCCAGTCCTTATGCCAAATCTTTCTCAATTAAGCCTAAATTGAGAGAATGAGCTCAGAGTAGGAAAAAAGCTCACATTTATATCCAGAGAGTAAAGTCACTTAATCTCAAAGGTCACTGATCAAAACCAGCTGCCAAGCTTCTCAGTAGGGAATGAAGTAATGCAAAGAAGCGGGGGCACCAGTTCCAACGACCCAGCCTGACTCTAAAAGGGTTTAACATACTGAGATCTTGCTGCTACAAAAAGGCAAATATTCAGCACAGCTAAAGGAAAATAAAAGTGTAGAACACGGGTACCTTCTTGAATGGATGCTACAGGAGGACAACAATTTTGCATATTCACTTATATTCCCTAATGTCAGCATGGTATATACATCTAAAAGCTGACCCAAAAAGCTAATGCCTCCTCCACTATGAAGAGTCTAGGAAAACAGACACACTTGTAATTTAATATTAAGTTGAAAACATTAATAATTTTAGACAGTTGTGTTTATAAACAGCCAAATAAGACCCACAGAAATATTTACTGAAAAAATAAAACAGAACACAACAATGGTTCAAGGAATGAGAAGGCTTAGTTTCATTCAGAGACTGCTCTATTGCCTATTTATGTTTTAAAGAGTTATGACTGGAAGATTTGATCACGCCCCTGGACAGGAATCATCTAATTAGTTTTCTACCAAAAAAACCCTAACAAACAAACAAACAAACAAAAAAACAACAAAACACCTGGACAACATACCCACTCGATGACAAACCTCTATGTCCGAAAATATTTACATTATGATTCACAATAGTAGTAAAACTACAAGTATAAAGTAGCAACAAAAATAATTTTATAGTGTAGGTCACCACAACATGAGGAACTGTATTAATGGGGTTGAAGCATTAGGAAGGTTTGAGAGCCATTGCCCACTGAGAAGGGAATGTGTGATGCTTTAGTCAAACTGGAACTTAACTGTGATAGCCAGGAGACCACGCTCCTACAGGATGCATGTGCTGCTGATAGGAGGTTTACTGGGAAATAAGACACGTACTTAACAGTAAAAATGAGTTTCCACTAAATAAAATTCATTTATACTTTTTGTTATTATTTCAGTGAAAGAAAATGCTGTATATGCCAATAGATACAAAACAAAAATGGGCTTGTTTTATCTTAAATGGAAGCAACAGCATGAAAAAATTAGTATTAGTCATATATGTATATGGGATTTATTAGAATGGCTTATAGGATATGGTCCAGCTAGTCCAACAAAAGCTGTCTACCAATGGAAGGTACAAGAAGTCACTAGTTGCTCAGTCTCTGCGGCTGGATATCTCAGTAGAGGCTAGAATCCCAAAGACTTAGGCTTTAATGTCAGTCAAGGAATGGACTTGCCGGAGAGAGCAAAAGCAAGTAGGCAAAGAAAGCAAGCTTTCTTCTTCCATGTCCTTTATACAGGCTGTCAGCAGAAGGCGTGATGCAGAAAAGATTTGGATTAAAAGGGGCAGAGGCAGGCAGATCTCTGGGAGTTCAAGGCCAGCCTGGTCTATAGAGTGATCCTAGGACAGCCAGGGCTGTTAGAGAAACCCTGTCTCAAAACAAAACAAAAAAGTGAGTCTTCCCACACCAAATTATTTAAGAAGAAAATCCCTCACAGAGGTATACCAGAAATAGCCATCACAGTTGTTAAATGATGAGGAAGACCAGCAACCAGTATAATGACCAAACTCCATTGCTTAACATTTCACAAGATCATTTTTATTATCAAAAAGCAATTGATTATTTTAAGGTACAGTCTATAAACAAAACATTTTAATTTCTACCAACATAAAAATGCTATCTTCCAGTCAAAGCAGTTCCTAGACCACAGACACATATGACAGACAGGAGATCCTAGAGCCAACTCCAGCTCCTGACGCCCTTCTCTACTGCACTACAGCAGATTGCACTCAGCTCTAACAGCCCAACTACCCTACTGAGGTTCTACTCATTCTTTTGCCAGCTGTGGTCTTCCTTTCTCCAGTTCCTTTTGGACTTTCCACTTCAGTTTATGCCATGTTGTTTACTCCTACAACTCTTCTACTCTTTTTGACTCACTTCCCATTCATCATATGTCTAGGTCTTTGTTTATGTGAGTATAAACCAGTATTCTCCAAGGGTCAACAGAAATTCTAAGCTTAATGAAGTTCATTAAGTTAAAATGATTTTCATCGCAATTATTTCATTGTGAATCATTAATTCAAAGCAAGTTTGCCTTAAGAATTATGTAAACCCACAAGTAAATAAAAATTGTATTCCCTCAGTATGATCCACTTTGGCTTATCATTAGAAGTGTCAAGGCATATCCAATGTTTGGCCCATATAAGTCCTTGCATTATGCTGTCCCTGGCCAAAGCATAGCCATCTTTCTCAGCAGAGACAAACAAAACACAGTGACGAAGTCCTTTTGTTGAAAGGGTAGGGTATTCAGCTATGGAAAAAAGATCAAACACAAAAGCTGCTAAGATCATGACAAGTTACTGTCATTTCTGAAGGAGGCATATGCATTTACTATTTCACTTTTTTAAAATGTCCAAAAACTGAAAGAGAGATGAAGTCACAACTAGCAAACTCAACTGTACACACACTAATTATATTCTATTTCAGGTACTTATATAACTGTAAAGATGTGACACTACGGAGGAATACTGCAGGAAGTCTGGGCTTCTGCATTGTTGGAGGTTATGAAGAATACACTGGGAACAAACCTTTTTTTATCAAATCCATTGTCGAAGGAACACCAGCATACAATGATGGAAGAATTAGGTAAAATAATATTATTTTGTTCTCTACATGTAAAAACTTGGCCCCACTTGAAAGAAAGCATGTATTTACTATACATTCTTGAAGAGTGAAAAATTAAAACATGAGTATATCAGTTAGATTTAAGAAGTTCAAAATAAAGCTGGGTGGTGGTGGTGCACACCTTTAATCCCAGCACTCAGGAAGCAGAAACAGGCAGATCTCTGTGAATTTGAGGCCAGCCTAGTCTACAAAGCAAGTTCCAGGACAGCCTGGGCTGTTACACAGAGAAACTCTGTCTCGAAACCCCCCCCAATCAACAACTACTGGCCTTGGTCCCATATTGCAATTAACTATACTTGGAGATTTGAGAATTTAAGTGAAGGGGGAAAAAAATCTCATTAGAATTAAAATGGGCACATATGGAAAACACTAGGGGAACCCAAGTCCACTATGAGTAACTTCAACCATAAAGCAATTGTGATACCAATCCTGTGTTTTTTCTTAGATGTGGTGACATTCTGCTCGCTGTCAACGGAAGGAGCACGTCGGGCATGATACATGCCTGCTTGGCAAGGATGCTCAAAGAACTTAAAGGGAGAATTACTCTCACTATTGCTTCCTGGCCTGGTACATTTTTGTAAAACCAATGATGGATCTTAGAAAACAGAAAAAAAGATCACAGGCTAGGTAAAACTGTATTTATCTTGTCAATTTTTATATTTAAAGAATATATTGTAAAAAAAATACCAGAAAAGTATGATATTGTGAAAACAAATGACACCTCAGAGAATGTTTTCAAAAATAAAAACTGGTAAGTTTTTATTTAGTGTGGAGGATTTCTCATCACTCCAAACTTTTTGAGTTTATATTTTTCTATCCAATAAAAAGTCCATAAAAAATCTAAAATTATTTGTATGACACAATTCAAATCAATTAAATATGGTATATGTAGAGTTCAAGAAAGAGCACATTACAGGCATTTAAGTTTAATGGTAGAGGATTTAAGATGAGAAATAAATCTTTCTAAATGATAGCCATCCTCTTACCTGTGGCTCTAAGTCATTTTTTCACACAACAAGTTCCAAGTCACTACCACTGCTACTCTCTATTCCCTCCTGGGCTAAGTCCATATTTTAAGCTTGGATTTTTGGCTTTACTAAGAAATAACTGACCTAACACTACTGTCATTGAGTTTATTTTTATCCTTAATATGGCAATGGTATAAAAAAACAACCCACATTCTACTTTAGCAATGAGTCTTGGAAAACATGGTAACAGCAGCCAAACTGCCTTGACCCTGGCTCAAACAGACGGCCATGAAGTGGTCCAGCACTGTGTTAGTCACAACTGTGTCTATACATGTGCCTGCTACAAAGTACACAGCTACATCACAGGGCCACCCAAAGGCCTCCTACCTTCTATAAATTTAGGTATAAAAAACGGCCCATTTAGTTACCACAGACCCAACGTCAGAACACCAAAAACCTGCTATCAAAGGCAGTGAAATCAAGGAAGTGCCCAAGCTCTTGACCCTGCAGGAGTAGTAAGATGAAGAGTGCTTCGTTGCCAGAGGGGACCTTGCAGCACCTCTTCTGCGACGGTATCCGACTAACTAGAAAGCTGGCCAAGCTGAGTCCTCGACCTTCCTCATACTGTGTACACACAGCAAAGCTTACCTCTAAATCCCCTGCTGACTCATTCACATTACTTTCTTGGATATAAAGTCATTTCTGTCTTTTATTCTTTAAATATTACAAGACAAAGATTTTTAACTTAACACAAAAAATGCACATTTTTATTTTGGAAAAGAAAAAAGTTAACGTTTCATTCTAACAGAACAAGATTAAATGTATATTTCTTCAACATTATCCAGAAAAATAAGGAGATTTGTAGCATCTATTTCTGGGACTGACAGACATGAAAGGTGGAGCCTACTCAGCAGGGGCAGCTTCAGCACTCTCCTGTTCGGGGACCGGCTCGCTGCCAGCCTCCTTTCCTTCTTTGCTTCTTTTAGATTTTTTGTGCTTGTGTCTCCTGTGACTGTCCCCTTCTTCACTTTCATGACGACGTCTACTGTTACTGCAGGAAAAGGAATTGTGTTTAACAATGCTCAGTAACAAACTGTGACAATATCAATCTGATCTAAATAATCAGTAAGCCTGGATTTAGGTTAAACCCACTTGTTTTCTGATGAATATATTTTGAAGAGTCATTTTGCATTAGATTTTACACAGATTATGTTATGGGGTTATCTTCACCCACACCATCCCAGACTCCATTACTTTGTTCTGAAAGTCTTTTATGAGTTAGAAACTGAAGCATAATAACTTGGAAAAGGAAATACTGCTTTATAGGGTGAATTTTCAGATACAATAAGCATTGAAATTGATTCTAACTTTTTTTAGAATTGCAGGCCCCAAATTTTTTCTTTAAACCAAAACAGTTTAATATTATAAAGATTGGCTCATATGCCCAAATTCCCCTCTACCAAAGAGATAATATAAAACAAAGGAAAAAACCTTATTTTAATTTTGTCTGAGAGGTATTAAAGAAAGGCAACCTTGTTGGATTTAAAGATTGTCGTTGACGGCCATAAGGAACTATGACAGACTGTTCCTGGTCGTTTAGTTAGAGACAGTCTTATCTATCAGTTGGTCACTGGGAGGATTTCTGCTTCCTGAAGGGCAGACTGTGCCGTTGCCCCTCCACCCCCAGACTAAGGCGGGTCACCATTAAAGAGCAAACCTGCGAGAGGACTTGTGTCTGGTTTCCTCTTTCTCTCTGTGGCGTCGTTCTCTGTGGCGTTCTTCCTTTTCCCGACTAGCTCTATGGCGCTCATAGCCTCTTTCCGCATATTCCCTGTATCTGTATCGCTCTTCATCACTGAAATGGAAGTGGAACACTGTATCAAGACTATTAATTCAGCTGACTGTAAGAGGAAGAACTTCTGAAGCCTAGCAAAGGCCTGCATGCCAACTTCTTATACTGGGAAACAAATATTTCCTGGACCAAGCCACAAATCAGTAACACAGTTAACGTAAGGAAACAGCACACTAGAAAAATGGCCCTATGTTGTTTACATCTGCTCTGTGCCATCACAGTTTTAATGACAGGCGTCACATTAGTATGTCACATTTTATTTCTGGAAAAAAATGACACCTGAAATTGATTTAAATTTTAATCAGCAGGATATTTCTTCTTGCTCCCACTTTGTAATTAATTTTTCAGATATCTATAAAGAAATCTTATTCTAAGAATGTGGGTCTCACAACAGCTTCCACAGTAGAAGGCAGATAGATAATTTTTCTAAGTGTCTGATTGTTACCAGAAGGAATAGTGTAATTTTCCTCCCGTGCAGAAGAATACACATGAGGAAAAGGAATATTGCAGCATCTGCATACCACACAGAACACAGGAGATGGACATCCCAGCTACTTCACCCATATCGCCCTCCGTTCCCACCCCCGGCCCAACTCAAACTAAAGCTTCAAATGCACGAATACAAGTTAAAGCTCTATTTTCTGATTTTGGATAGAATAAGAGACTCACAAAACAGAATTGATTACCAGAGTTAACAGGTGTCTTTTTTTTTTCTGACATGTCCCTTCTTTTATATCCCTTAACTGACACTCTTTTCTCCATTTTATTAATCCTTTAGATCTTTCCTTTTTTTTCTTTTCTTCTCACTATGCAGCCTGTGTTGACAAATGAATTCCCTATTCTTACCTCACCTTCCTGAGTGCTGGGATTACACACATGTACTACCATGCCTGGCTTTTCCCTTTTTGTATTTCACATGGAAGTAAAGACTTTTTTTAAAACCTAGCATCAGAAAATTCTGTCATTTGGAATAAACAAACATCTTTGAGAGTACTGCCAAAAAGCTTCAGGTTTTAAAAATATGTTCAATACAAATAATTATCAATTTGTATGCAGCAACAAGATGTTGACGAATCTGGGTGGGAATAAGAGCATCAGGGGAAAGTAAGTGGGATAAAAAAACAAACCAGCCCGTGACCACCCAGCAAAAGGAATGGTACAGAAATAATGTTTAGTGCCAGAAGACATTACTGCCCAAATAAAGAGCTAGGATATATTAAGATTGTACAACATTTTATAAGAATGTTGTTTTAATGTGCACATATGCATATGCACATGTATGAGTGCACCCATGATTTTACCCTAAGGAGCATGTCTTTAATAGGCAGTGTACCACGACAGGCAGTGCAGAGCGGCAGCGCATCCACGGATGCCACTTCTAACCCTAGAACCTCACTCCTTGAAATCTGTTTTCTCATTTTTAACTGACAGTCTTTTTCAAGGCTTCTATAAAAGCGACAAAAATATTTATCAAGCTCTTAGTGTGAGAGTAGACAACCAATAAATGGACTTTCGGGGCCTGACAGGTGGCTCAGTGGGTAAAGGCACTTGCTGCCAAGCCTGACAACCAAAGTTTGATCCCCAGGTTCCACATTGTAGAATGATTGAAAGGACTCCTGCAAGTTGCCTCTGACCTCTAAAGAGGCACTATGGGATGAGCATATGCACACACAGCATAATAAATAAATAAATGGAACTCTTCAATGAATTTAGTACCTAATTTTTCAGAAGGAGACCATTTCCTACAAAGGTTACTGGGCTTCTAATAATCTCTCTCCAAGGCAAACCAAAGCAGCACAGCAGCAAATGAACATTACAATGAACTCCATCAACAAATGAGGTTTCTCTAATGACTCAACTAGACTACACAGAAGGAATAAAGGCCAGTTATTTTACATTTTGTCATGTGTAGTCCCCCTGTGCCCTGCCCTTGCCCCAAAGCCAATTCTTGCTAGCTCTGAGGCCTTTGGATTCCACAGGCAGTCACACGATGGGAACCTAAGAAAAACAGACTGCTGGTGAGTGTCCCTGCATGGAAACAGCAGCACCTCCTCCACTCCTTTCTGATAGGTGCAAGGGCTCCTCCAGGCCTGGAACTCATTAGAGCACATTTCAAACATCCTATAACACTCGGCCTTCTTTCTGGCCCATAATTAAAGTGCCTTAAAAACAGATGTTAAAACTGGTCTCTCATTTTCAAAACAATGACCCTGTAATTGGTAATGCAACACATACTATATACATTTTGTTTTAGAACATTTCTGTCAGTCTTTAGAAACAATTAGCTTTAACTTCCCAGGTATATTCCCTAGTACAGGTTTTAATTAGGACAATTCAGAACACACAATTTCTCTATCTTTGGCCTTTCTGACCTTAACCTTTTACTCTTATATAGTAAAACATGTAAATCTTTACTGCACACACCTACAGAACACACAAAGGGACAAAGTATTCTGGCTTCCACAGCCTTTCACATCAGGACCTGTGCATACGAGTGAGGACCCCTTTATGCCAACTTACGCACACTACAGCAGTGCTTGAGAATTCCTTTAGATGTGGCACACCAATGGAAATTTAGGGGCACACAAAGAAATTCCAAATGCTAAAGTTAGCTTACTTATGCTTTAAAAAAAGGATATGATACTCAGTAAATCAGAGTATTTTTAATTCACTGTACATATTTAAAGTGGTAATTTTATTTTAAAATAATATATATTAGAAATGTATATGAATTATCACATAGTTAAACTTAAAACTAGTTTTAGGTGACAAGACAGAAATCTGTGAGGGATTAAAATTCCCATGAGGGCCAAGTGAACAATGAGATTTGAAACTTGCTGCTTATTGTAATGGGGTCCTCAAGAATGAAAGGAGTATGATCTCAAATGGCTTTTCTAACCACACCTTGAGTATTCTTTGCCCAGTGACACCAAATCAAGTGCAAAGTACAAATGAAGTGTGCAACACTCTCACAGCCAACAAACCTGTTGAAAACGCTGGGGGTGGGGCTGTGATCCCGTTCCCGCTCCCTCTCTCGGGTCCGCTCTCTTTCTCTGTCCCGGTCCCTGTCTCTCTCTCGGTCTCTGTCTCTCTCTCGATCTCTGTCTCGGTCTTTCTCTCTTCGTGCATAATAGTCCCATTGTTTGGTGGTGTCCACAAGGCTAGGCCACGAGGGAGCGGAACTGGTAAGATGGGGGAAGGCAACTGAAGGAGAAAGCACATTAAAATAAAAGGTTATGCAACTCTGACACTCTTCAGTCGGCAAGAACTCCCCAATACCAAAAGCAGAAACCAGAAGACACTAGAACATCATTGAACTACTAAGAGAAAATGAAATACAAAAATTATATTTTAAAGACTTAGGTGTAGCTCTCTGAGTGAATACCTGTCCATAACATGCACAAAGCAATGGGTTCAATACCCATATCTACAAAAAAAAAACAAAAAAAACAAAAAAAACAAAAATACCATAACAAAAAACTCAAAACAAAACATTTTAGCAATAAAACAGATATTTGTAAACAAACAAAAAGAAGTAAGGCAAAGCAAACTCATTATGCAAGCCATAGTTGTTGTCTTTCTTATAATTTGGCTGGGACAAGGAAAACCTCTCCTTTATTACATTTTACACTTCCCAACTACCTGGGAGGAGAGTTGGGAGAGGTAGAAAGATGGTTCGCAGAAGACCTGTGCTTCCTTGTAATAGCAATAAGCACCTATACTCACAGTTTTAAAAAAGCACTACGAGGCTGGGTCAGTGATCAAGAATGACTTTCAGATATGGGCCAGTCACTGTTTCACTTGTATTGAAGCAAACATGCAGGGACAGGGTAACAGAAAAACACTCAATGCCATTAATAAAAGATAAAAAGCAAACAAAGGAACCCAACGAGACGTGCCATTAGAATGCTTATGTATTATCAGTAACAACTAAACTTCGATTCCAGCTTCTGTTTACATGAGGAAAAGATTGGGTATTTTAAACCATCTAAGGTTACCTAATATAAATTGAACCCAAGACCCCAACACAGGTAACCAAAGAGCCTATGCTTCAACAATTCCTTCTCACTGCTTCAGGGGAAGAGAAAAGGGAGATGGTAGTGATTATAAAAACCAAAGCTCACACTGGGACACTCAGAAAGAACAGAGCAAAGTGCTTCAAGGCAATCCCCCAGCCTTAGGGGAATGCTTTACTTTCATTTAATGACTAGAGAAGAGAGCACCCCATAAGAGCTTGTTAAAGGTATTCAGAAGTGTATCCCCAGGACACAGAAACCCATTAAAATTTCCTCCGCCTTCAATGGAGGAAACAGGGTATCCATCAAAATGTCCACCTTTGGATTACTCCCAGAGAGTAGCAGAGTAGGAGAGACCACAGAATGCTACTCTGAAACAACACTTGTCAGCACGCTGCTGAGACAAAGCAACTGAGAAGCTGCAAGGCTAAGAAAAAGCTCTCTGCCCCCTCACATTTGCCCACAGGCCTGAAATCAATCCACAAAAGAAAGTTCAGGTGTATCCCTTGCTCTCTTGACTAGGAAGAATGCAAACTGATCATTGGAGACTTTTAGCCTGGAGACCCACCACTAGCTTCTTTATTTATTAATGACTTCATCTCATTATCCTTTCAGTAGCAGGGAGTGAAGCCAGGCTCTCTTACATGCTGGCCAAGCATTTATCATGGAATCACAGCCTGAGCCATCTATTCAGTTCGTTAGTTGGTGGGGGCACCCTTATTTAAGGGTTATTTACAGGAACATGGATGGGGGTTATTTATAAGCACATGGGCAAGTGGCTATGAAATACCACAGAAGAAAATGCCTCTCCTTCCCTGAGCAACCATTAACTGGCTTCATACATAGCCTTAGGAAATAAATGGTGGGGCCTCTTGGGATCTTTCGATGGGCCCAGTTATTACAGTTGGCGTGAGTTCATGTATGCATGCATGCATGGCCATGTCATACCTGGAAGACAGACACTGCTTTACAATACTGCACTTTATTTCCTCCAATGTTGTCTGAACTGTGCAAGGATGACACAGATGTCCATTTAGGGATGGACACTGAAGGCACTTTTTGGACTTTCCTACACCTCTGTCTTTCTGTCACACAAGTGATACAAGCTAATAAACATGCTCTTCTCTTCCTATTTGTCTCTGGGAGGGTGTTTCACCTAACTGCGCACAGCCTTGTTTTCCCACCCATCTACATGCTCAACAGCTTCTACTTGTTCCTCAAGTCCAAGAAGGCATAACGGCTATTCCAGCCTTTCTCGGAACTCTGGAAGTCCATAATATCCTCACAATTAATAGGTAGAAGGGGGGCATTTTCCAATGTCAATCGAGCAACTTTAAAACTCTGCATTAAGATTAACAGAAGCCTTATAGCCTTGTGGCAAACATTCCTATTCCATAACACTGCATTGAGATTCACTTGGTTTTACTGGGCTTCAAAAAAAATGCTGTTTTTTGTTTTGCTTCATTTTTTTAAAAATAAATTCAAAGTTTGTAGCAATCTTACATGATGTACCAACCAACAGTAAAGTCCTAACCTTTCCAATTCTATGAAAGCTGGGCAAGGTAAAAAGGTACAAAAATAAATTTGAAGAAACAGAAGCTAGATTGTGATGGTAAAGAATCGGTCTCAGCACAGTTGGGTGCAAGGTACAGAGAAGCTGCAGCAAGCTAACTAGAAGTCTGCGAGTCGATGAAGGCTGGCTGCACTAACCAAAGGATTTTCAGTACAGAGCAGTTTTCTTTTGAAGAACATGCCATTTAAAACTTTTGCAGCTAAAAACAATCAAAGTCTAGCTGCAATGTTACAGTAGCCGGTGACAATGCCCAGTACCATTCATGAAATTCTAGGCCTCTGGCGGCACACTGTCCACAACTGGCTTTCTAATTATTTTAAACCCACCATCAAGACCTACTGCTCAGAAAAAAGACTGCTTTCAAAATTCTTCTGATCACTGACAATGCATCCAGTCACTCAAGAGCACTGATGCAAAGATGCACTCCAATTCATATAGCTTACAAGTCTGCAAATACCAAATTCATTATGCAACCTGTGCTCAACAGTAACTGTACTTCATTTTTAATTTCCTAAGTCTTAGTTGATTCCTCTGATATAACCAGAAAACATAACTGAAATCTTCTAGTTCTAGATGCTATGAAGAATATTCAGGATTTAGAAGAGGAAGTAAAAATATTGTCATCAACATGAACCAGCAAGAGAGACTTGGAGGGAGTCAGGACTTGAGCAGATGGAGCAAGCAGCTGCAGAGAGGGATATGGAAGGAGCCCTGAAGAGGAACTCGAATGTTCTGTGGAGAGCAGAGAGTAGTTTCTTGAGATGAATGCGTTTTAGTGAACACTACTGTGTCAACTGAGTGAACAGGACATAATCTTAGTTCCTGGAGTAGTGGCTCTATATAAGAGGAATGACTCCATCCTAGTCCTACTCTTGAAGGTGCCATCAAACAGAGTCACATTGCTATAGGGAAATCCTATATAGAAGATGCAATATACAGTAAACTTCACTCATTGTTAAGATACTGTCACAACAACTCTAATTGTTAGAAGCCACCACCTTGACTGAGTCAAAACTCTCCACAAGCAAAAAGATTATAACTCACGAAGAGTTCAAATGATCACTAGTATTTTTAGCAACAATATTTTTAAGTTAAGGGTTATATATTTCTTTCAGCATGACACTGCACATTTGCAGAGCTTAATATAAACAAACATCACTTCTTTATGCACTGGGAAATAAAAGGCTCTACACAATGTGTTTTATCATGTTAGTTTTACTGGGCTGGTCTGGAAACCAACCTTCTCTATCTCCAAAGTAAGCCTATCCTGTCGAGTGTGAGCAGGAGCTCTCGGGAGTCCAGCCACCCGTCACTTTTAGTTCAAAGGCCTCTTACCCCATGCAAGTTGTCACCGACTGTTCTACCCTTTGAAGTAGGAGGCTCCTTTCACTCAATTCTCAAGACAAGTTCTTTTCTGTCTGGTCACCTGCCTATCTCCTTACTGACCAACGAATTTGGTAAGGATAACCCTACAACTCACGACATCCTTAAGTATGATAGATAGCTTTTAAAAATAATGAAAAGAAGGAAGGCACCAGAAGCCCCTGGTGTGGATAAAGCTGCTACGAATAAAAAGTGTGTGTGTGTTGGGGGAGGGAGGCACAGGACACATACATGTGACTTACAAAAAACTAAGTCAGTGAAAGGAATGGATGCCGTGACGCATGGACAACGAGACTGAGATGAAAATTTTCAGGAAAAGCTGGACTCCCATACCTGTTGTGCCACTATATTTTAAAGCATCAATTGAAAACTAAAGTATATTCTCTGAAGTAATGTAACATATATATAGACTTCACTCTGTAAAGATGTTATTTTAAAGCACGAAATCATGTTTCTATTTCCTTACCGATCACATCGGGTCTGGGTGAGGAGTAACTTACCATTGCCGTATGGAAATGCTCTTGCAGAACGGCTGTCATAACCAGAGGAATGGCCACTGTGGAGGAAAGAAATACCTTTATGTCTGAAGCAAATAAGTACTCAATCTTAATAGTCCAGTACAATTGAAAAGACAGCAAGGCAACAACATTTAACTTTGAAACAATTTGTTACAAGGTCTTGCTATTTTTTAAAGTGACAAAATGCACTTTTTTACCTCAAAAACACTAAGACCTAGTGGTTACTTGCTGATAATACTTAGTATGACTTATACAATCAATTTAGCTTTCTAAGTAAGATACAGGAAAATTCTCAGAAAAATTGGTTTTAATGCCTCTAACTTGATTATAAATCAATCAATAATACCTTTCCAACAGATAAAAACTCATTATTCATTTCTAACAAACTACTTTTATTTTCTATGCCCTACATTTTGATATTTGGCTATAGCTACATAAAAGTACTTAATACAAATTAAACCTACGAATTAACAGGCGGGTGCTATGTCTAAACATTAGAAAATATTAGCAAAGGTTCTGCTGCAAAGCTGTCAATGATCAGCAACTCAAGAATATTGGCACTGCTTTACCTTTCTATTGTTGGTATAAGAGATGGAGGTGGAGCTCCTGGTGGAGGAGGGAAACCTGAAACATTCAACCAGAAGATAAGAGAATTAACATGATGCATATGCAATGTCAAGAGTGAAACAGTTGCTGAGTATCACTAATATTTTCTGGGGATACAAACGTGCTTCTCTACGTCATTATGAACAGGAAAAAAATAGAGCTGAAACTTATAAACAGTTTTTTAGAGCAATAACGTTGTTAATAAACAGTCTGGTCTAACACACAGAGCACAAATTGTCAGGACACCCGGTCTTATTTTCAGCACCACACACAGCCCATTTTGTGCATATAAGAAAGTTAGTCTCAATGCCTTACCTTCTCCACATAAAAAAAACAGTAGTAGGTTTGCCATCAGATTATGTTTTGAAGAAACACAAATAAATTAGCATTTATGTCATTTAAATAGTCTGAGTTTCAGATTTATAGAAATTTCTTTAAAGTGTATAATTTGTAAGTAAAATTTAACCAGTAAATATATGTGTTCATAGCAAGAACATCTGCCATGAAATGTTTAAAATAACACAACCCCAATGAACTACTTTACAAAGCAAGGCACATAATGGAGGCAAATACTTTGCACCTTTGTACTGTGAGGTCAGCACTCTCAGTCACTTGCATAGCTAAATGAAATTCCACAGAATAGCATGGCTAAAGGGATCTTAGCAGTAGTCTCCTCTAGACTTCCAAAGCCAGAATGTAACAGTGTCACAGCCAAAGACTTCACAGTTCCACAACTTCTGATACTTAACCGCGCCCCTCAGGTTTTAACAACCTCCACTACTAGGAAATGCATCAAATTCAACAGTTTCAATCCTTTGCCCTCTGGTTCAAGTCCTGGTGGAGACAAATCAACTGCTGTACCCCCACTGTCTTCTACTTATTGGCAACTTTCCATTAAGGCTCCTCTCCAGTATTCTCTGGGGACATGAATTCCAGTTCCCTCATTCCTTCTCAAAGCTTCATTTCATCAATCTTTAGTCTTGACTCAGACTATTTCAAGTTTACTGTGCTGGTCAGTGTACAGTTTTAGCATCTGTAACTCTTCTACTACATCAAAGCAAGCCCAAGTTTAACAGTTACCACAGTAGTCCTCAAGTCCACATCCTACACAACATGGTTTCACAGCCATACTGTCATTTAGACTAAAAAGGCACAACATCCTTTAGACTTCCCCTGGCCAACCTTTCCTCAGCCACACCCACACAGTCAGTGACTGTAATCCCTGCTAAGTATGTATGCTAACCTTTACAATCTAAACTTCCCTTTCTGCTCATCCAGGTCATCTGGAATTGAGACCCACTCTTCTCAAGTGTCTTCACTAGTCATCTTCTTCATACTCCTTGGTTTTTCACACTAAATTCAGTAAATAGACTTTCTAGTGAGTACCCCATTACACAGTAAAAAGAAGTCACTGACAAAAATGTAAAAAGAACACTGAGCTACATAACCACTCCTATTGACTACACCATCACAATGCCCAATTAATTATCACTCTAAGAACAAGTACTTGACTAGTTATTAAGCCATACAATTGCTGGGTAGTTCAGAACATATTTTCTCATGACAATGAATTATGACAGTGGGTAAACAATCAGAAGCCATTATAAAATCAAGATAAAATTTTTTTTCTCTTTGAGTCACTTTCACACACGAAAAAAATCATTGGTCTAAAAAGCTATTCAAACAGTGATTTTATTTTGTATCTTCTATTGTTTCCCTCTCAAATTGATAAGATGAGAACATCTATTTCTATAGAAATGGATAAGACAGGCTTAAGAAAACTAAATGTCTTAAAACCGGAATGAAGCAAAGGCAGAGCTGAAAATAGGACCTTGAAATCCCAGTGGCCTAGTACATATTCTAACCACATCAACACCGTCCCTCCTGTAACTATAAGCTTGAAATTTCATGTTCATTAACAATGATGGAGAAAACATGAAAAAAGTTTTACCTGGAGGTGGTACAGTTATTGGAATACCTAAAAAACAAGTGATGAAATTTAATATAGTAACTGGATTTCAGAACCTGGTATGTTTTATGCCATCACCAAAACAAACTTTGAAATAAACCCCTGTCTCAGCATCCTGGCACAGCACTCAAGAGAAGCGCTCTGTGTTCTTGCAGACCAACAATTCAAGTACAGCATCCAACTTCCCTGATGAGAACCAGTCTACCAACGTCATAACAAGATTGCCCCACTAGCTGGAATCACAAATGACGTTAAAAGGCACATCACTTAAAAATATCAAACTCCGTAATGTTGAAAAAACTCACTAAGTAGAGTCATCAGAAATGGATGGTGTTAGCTTAACACTTTAATGTAAGTACTGCAGATAGGGAAAGATTATGACTACCACTCACTTCTGTAAAGGACAGTGTACGCTACTTAAGTGTGAAGACATTTTTTTTACTGCTGTTGCTAGGAGTAAATAGTCAATACTCTTTGATTTTTAGAAGTGGAAAAGCAGGCATAGGAAACTTACATATGGACACATGCATACACCCACACCCACACATCATATTAGCATAAACAGATAATTGCCTTCTACAGGTGTTGGCAAACTAACATTCAAGTGTCTCCTGATTCTTTGTAAACACCATAGCCTTTAAGAAATAAACTATGCATAAACATTTTAAGTTTACACTGCGGAAATGTCCTTGTTAAGTATGAAGCAACTAAAATTAAACCCTAATTCTAAATTTAAGAAACACATGAAAGCCGGTGTATGACACACAAACTGGAACTACTTTTAGTTGAAAAATAATAGTCTCAAAGTAAGAAAACAGGAAAAAATATTCAAACAACTTTTTCATTAAAAGTTTTATATTACAAATAAATTCAATCTTTAAACAGTTTACTAAATCTCCTTTATAACTGTGTCCAAATCAGCTCAAAGGACGGGAGCAAATCCACTTACTAACTGTATGCAAGTGAGCAGAAGCGCTTTCAGATGTTTTCGTGACCACGGAAAGCCGCTCCTAGTTGACTGTAATATGTTCTGACGGACATGTTTTACTGGAAGGAAGGCTGTCATGAATAAGAGCTTAAGGCAGCGTATGGCTTTAAGACACTGACTCAAGTACCCGATCTAACCCCAAAAAATCAAAGGTTATAAAACCAGCACCCGGGCGGTGGTGGTGCATGCCTTTAATCCCAGCACTCGTGAGGCAGAGGCAGGCGGATCTCTGTGAGTTCGAAGCCGGGCTGGACAGACAGCCTCCAAAACAATACAGAGAAGCTCTGTCTCGTAAAAAACCAAAAAAAAAAAAAGAAAAAAGAAAAAAGAAAAAAGAAAAAAAGAAAAAAAAAGAAAGAAAACCCAGCACCCCACCCACAGGCAATCCCATTTCCACCTATCCCAAGGGTTAGCTTGATGCATCTCCTATCACGGAAGCCTAAGAACCTAGCAGATAGCTCTAATCAAGAATCCCAAATGCAAAGCTGAATGGGAGAAGGAAGGCAGGAATAGTAATGCTTCCATGTATACTACTACTTAATATTCTTTACAACAGTACAAATATCTGATTTTACTTCACATTTAATAATTAAGTGTTTCAATGTGTAAGGCTACTAATGTTAGATCAGTTCCCACCGTGCTACTTCACCCTAGTAATGTCATCTAAGTGTTTATGAGTAGCAAACACTACTTTAGCTACACTTAATAAATGATAATGTGTCAGGGCTTTCAGACCTTAGTCCTCACAAGAGTTTAAAACTGTGAAAACAAACGCAGAAGGCTTGCTGCAGTGGGTCCAGCCCTGAGCAGGATCCTGAGTTGTACAAGACAGCAAGCTGAGCAAACCAGTTGGAAGAAGACAGTGAGCACAAGGCTTCTGCTTCTGTTCCTGCCTTGAGTTCCTGTGCTGACTTCTCAATGATGGGATGTGGAAGAGTAAGGCAAATAAACCCTTTCCTCCCCAAGTTGCTTTTGATCATAGTATTTTATCACAACATTAAAACCCTAATTAAGGGGCTGGAGAGATGGCTCAGTAGTTAAGAGCACTGACCATTGTTCTAGAGGACCTGGGCTCAATTCCCAGCAATCACATGGCAGCTAACTGTCTGTAAACTCCAAAGATCTGACACCCTCAAGCAGTCATATATGCAGGCAAAGCACCAATGCAATAAAATAAATTATTTTTAAAAACCCTAATTAAAACAATTATTATTTGTCTTTAATTTTAATCTAGCTGTAGTGGAGTTACAGAAAAGATTTTTAAAAAATTAACTGGAACTGACAACAGAATAAAAGAAAAAACATGTTATATACAGTTGTCTTTCTAATTGGTGCCTATACAACAGAAAGCTTGCATGCTAGAAAGTGCTCTTCCAGTGAGACTTTTCTTTCATGTAGGATTCTACTTCAGTGTAAACACTTGGCTATGGAAAGGACTATAAAACTGATGAAGCATCAACCAATTCCTTGACAACTCCCAGAAACATTTTGAAACAATAAGTTAGTTTAATAAGTGATATAATGGAAAAAACACATTTTCATTTAAAAATCTCCAGTATTTACATTTATTAAAGAAACAAAACAAAAACGAAATAATGTAAAGGATGGAAAACTCATTCCAAAAATCCATTTTTCTTCCCTGAACAACTCCAATAGACTTAAACATACAAATTAAGTACTTTGCTTCTGTTATGTATGCATGTATATATATCTGCGTGTGCATATGTACATACATACATATGTATGCATACTTGTTTTGAAACAAGGTCTCACTATGTAGCCCTGGCTAGCTGGAAACTATCTACGTAACAATATGATCTTGAACTCAAAGATATCCACCTCCATCTGCCTCCCAAGAGCTGGGATTAAAGGTCTGTGCTACCACCTTTGGCCTTATTTATTTATCTACAAAATGAAAAAGGAAAGCCTTCCCTAATGGTAATATATTAAAAGTTTCAGCAAAGTAATTATCCATTCACATTCATGTACTTTCCTGAAGCACAAACACCTGGTGTATGTGAGCACAGACTGCTGGGACATTCTAGAGTTTCTCATTCAAAATGTCTAACATAATACAAAAACATATCTGCGTTCCCAAGAAGCCTAAGGAGATGAAGTCATTAACCTGGGATCACAATTTGAGAGCACTGGATTAGAACTCACACTTCCATACTTAAGAGACTCAGTACCACATTTGAAAAGTAAAGTCAACGTTAACTTTTTATGAAAGAAAGGCACTTTGTCCTGAGAGTAAAACACAATGACAATGCAGACACTCATCGGGTGAGGCACTGAAGATAGACAAAGAGACAATGTTCAGCCCTACAGTGTGTCATGATTACTCCTAAATGTAAAAGGGGATGGATGGCGCACACCTTTAATCCCAGCACTTGGGGGGCAGAGGTAGGCAGATCTTTGTGAGTCTGAGGCCAGCCTGGTCTACAGAGTGAGTTCCAGGACAGCCAGGGCAACACAGAGAAACCTTGAAAGGGGGTTTGAGGGGAGGCTAAAATCCCACCTGGCAAACTGAGGCAAAAAGGCAGCATTCCTTCCTATTAAATATTTAAAAACAAACAAAAAACATGACCTGTGCCAGGAATTTCCACAAAATATTCTGAAGACACATTTTAAAAAATTATCTTTAAATAAATTTTTATCAGTGCTTTGTAGACTATGCTAGGCAGCTTCTGACTTGGTTCTATGATTCCTTCCTCCTGGTGCAAATGCCTTTGCATACTTCTGGTATCTGAGTCCTCTTCTAAGAGAACAGGACATCACAGCTTTTATACAACACACACAGCACAAAGCCATCAAAACCAGTGAGGCCGTACCCATGACTAAGCTACAAAAGACAGTGATTTGTACTTTGCTGGCACTCTTTCAGTTGCCACCTCAGATGTTGGAGAGAGCCAAGCCCCTGGGCCCACAACTTAACAAAAAGACGAAAGGGGTGCTGGACAAAGGACTTCTTACAGGGCTACTCTTTGGGTTTGGTTACCAGCACCCACACAGCTTCTGGGGAACCTGACACTATAACGAGTGGCATATATGCAAATAAAACCATACACATAAAATACAAGTAAATCTTTTTAAAAGAAGAATGCTGGCTTTTATCAAAGTGAGTGAGCTTCAAAACTAAGCCTTCCTCAGTTAAATCCTTAGAAATGACCATGAAGTCTGAAAGTTTCAAGTACTTAAGCTAGTCCTAGATTCCTAACACAAACAATAACAATATGCTTTTTAAACTATACATTCCAGATATCTTGTAATGTAGTAATAGAAACACAATACATACTTACCAATTAAAGGGAAAAGGGGGCAGAACCGTGTGAATTTTGCTTCCTGCTTCTCATTAAATTCCAAATCCCATTAGTATTATAATGTAAGGCTGGAAAAGCCTGACCTAAGCCTGTTTCTATTGCAATCCAAAGTTGGGAGCTTGTACAAAAACCCCATGCCAAATGTATATAATAATTTTTTAAAAGTATCACTTAACAGAAATGCTTCACAAATTAAGCATATGAACATACAGATAGACATACACAGAACATATAGAATACTATAAACTAGTTTTTCAATGGCTAAACCAACCAAGTTGTATAAGAAGAAAGTCATTGTACATGTATTAAAAAGCTATGATCACAAAATTTAAATCAACTGGGTTACTAACATATTTCTTACTTAAAAGGCTAGTAAAAAGCACAAGATTTTATATTTTTATTTTCACTCAATCATCAAATTTATAAAATTTAATTCCTACAGAAAATAAAATTCCATCTCCAATTAAAACATATTTGATAGAAATGCCAAAGTTTTAGAGAAAACTTAAAGCTGACTTTATCACCTCATATATTCAAAGTTACTGGAAGAAAGGGGAAACAAAAGGCAGATATTAAAACCATAGTTAAGCTCTACAAACTGCAGTGCCAATGGTGCACTGATATGATAATTTAGTGTGAGGACTTAGCCTATTCAGTACAGTACTTGCACAAAACCCTGGGTGTGCTCCCAGAACTCCACA